GCACAAAGAAAAATTCTTAGAATGTTATATAGTTATGCAGATTTACATGCAAGCTTACTGTCTGAATGCTTTGTTCAAAGGAGAATAAATGGTGTTTTCTTTTTCTTGGTTGGTGGTAATAATCTAGGTGCCTTGTCGGGTCGATAGCCCAGAAGAATGTGCAAGGTTAATCGGCAAGTGACAAAATTCATTTGATCATATCTTTAACTCTTTAAGAGCTTGTAGTTGTGTCTTCATGACTTCTTTTTCTTATCTACAGATGCGAACCGGAAACTTAATCTCGGAAATGGAGTATTGATTGCAGTTCCCATCCCGAAAGAACACTCGGCTTCGGGAGGCTTAATGGAGTCTGCAATACAACAAGCCCTTACAGAGGCTAGGTCAAAACTGCATCATGCACACCAAGCATCTGATTTTCTGAATTAATATCTTGGTTTCTGACCTTCATCTTTATGTTCAGGGAAAAGAACATAACAGGGAATGCCGAATCTCCGTTCTTGCTTGCTCGGGTTAATGAAATAACTGGAGGAGCATCACTCGCTTCTAGTATCCTTAAGAGACCAATTATATTTATACTTGGAGATTACACTGTTGTTATTCTTCAACTAGCATTGTATCGTATTGGTTTTCTTAACCAAGCTCTAGACATTGCGCTTGTGAAAAACAATGCTGCCATTGGAGCCAAGATATCTGTAGCCCTGGCCAACCTCACCTCAAACACCAGTGTATAAAGGTACACCATAGGGAGTTGCTGAAAACAATCCTCCTGAATTTAGTTTTGATTTGATAAATTTGGATAGTGCTTTTTGGTGGTTAGTTTGTCCTGAATTTGATTAAGCCTTTTAATATAGGCATAATGCTGACATTCACCCCAATGTTTGATTAGATAGTTAATTTGGTCTATATTCTTTTTCTCGAAGCATTTTAGTTCCTAGTGTTTCATTTTAGGTCAAAAGAGCCCATGGTTGAATAAAAATTGTTAACAACAATCAACACTTGTCGATGACATGACACTATCATGTATGCATAAGAGATGATGTGTCCCATGTTATGTGTCTTAAGTGATGATGTAACACATGCCACGTATTCAAAGTGATGATATGGTATGGGCGCATTATATGTGCTACATCATCGCTTTGAACATGTATCATGTCATTACTTTAGACACATGACGTGTTGCATTATCACTTATGTACATGTGGTAGTGTCACATCAGTACTTTACGCATAAAATACAATATATAATTAGCTTCGTGTAATGAACGTAGGACGATGGTGAGAAAAGCTACATAGTCAAACCCAATCAAAATTCTTATCTTATGTGGAAAAAACAATGTCAAGTCAATTGATAAACGTGCCATATCAGTATTTCGTCACCCCCAGTAATGACTGTTAACATCAAGTGGTTGATATTTTATATATTGATAACGTTAGTGATTGAATCGTTAGTTTCAAAACACCAATGGGTAAAAGATAAATTTACTCAAACATGAGTGACAATTTGTGTAGTTTACTCTTTTTTTTAGAAAAACGTTTTTACATAGTGTTTTTCACTCGTATTGTTACGACTGTAAATGAGATAAGACAGATCGTGAGTTACTCGAGTTCGATTCAATCAAAGTTCGACTTGAGTTTTTAACGAACCAAAACGAATTATTAATGCTTATCTCGAAAAGCTCACAAGCAACTTGAAAAAATAATATATTAAATTTTAATTTTTTAAAATTAAATTATTAATAATGTTAAAATTTACATGTTATTTATTTTTATAAAAAATACAATATAAGACTTCCATGAACTTAAGGTTCAAGTTCGGACTTGAGCTTTAATTGAGCTAAGTCTTGAAATATCTCGAGTTCAAGTTTTTTCGAGTTTTAATTTTTCGTAGTGAGTCGAACTTAAAAAGTTTAAGCTTGTAAGCTTTCGATTCAAATCGAACTTTAATTTTTGATTTCGAATTTTAATATAATTTGATAATCTTAAATTCAACTACTTTCAAATTGTGGATGCAAGGCATTTGATTTGGCAGATTCAAACTTTTTAACCGACGGAAGAGAATTTCGAAGGTCATGCATGGATGACAAGCATGACTTGTTTTTTTTTAAAAGAAATCTTAATAAAAATACTAAAATTACATTAAACATTGAAAATATATTTTCATAATATTTTTTTCAAATAAAAATTCATCTGATCTATTATTTTTAAAATCAAGGCACTTAATTGTAAACTGTTTTATAACAACTCATATATAATTCAAATTAAAATCAACTTAATTTTTGGTACGTCTATTTAATATAAGCCTAAAAAAATTAATATCACATGATTCGTGAAATTGTATTTGGCCCACGATTTTAAGATAATATAAATTTAAAAATTTTAAATCAACTTACAAAACATAAAAGAAGTATTCATTATATTAAAAAATTAATTTTATTTTTTTTAAAATAAACAAAGATCCAGTTTAATCCATTTCTCTCTCTCTTTTAAGACTATACTTCGTTTATTTCTATAATTTGACTTAACATTTAGAGTCAGTTGATATTTCTTTTTAAAAATAACTTTTAAAAGTGAAGTAGAAAAAGAATTTTTAAAAGTGTTTTTTAAAAATGGAGTTTGAAATTTAATTATTCGAAATTACTGTTAAAATTAATTATGTTGTAAATTAAAAATATATCATTTTAAATTATATTTACACTTATTAATACTAAGATATATAAAATATACCAACTTAAACTATAAAATATATATATATATTCTTTAAGATAACTCATTAGCAGGGATAAAAATATAAATTTTCTTCTAAACGTAAAGTTGAAAATGAAAAAACTAAAAATCTCATTTTTTGTGGTTGGTTTGAAACCACCATTTCCACATTATTTTAATTTTTTAATTTTTTCCCGTTTGACATTAAATTTGCAGTCAAAACAAACTTTTTTTAGTTAAAAATGTTTTTAGACAATATTACTAAACACACCCTTATTCTGATATCACCTCTAATATTTCTATAAAAATAATTATAGATTTTAATCCATTTTAATGATATATTGTATTTCTATTACTCATTAACTAATTTAATTTTTTAATATTAGTCCTAATGAATGTATTTTTTCTCCTCCTACATAATAATTTAACCCTTTTAGACAAAAAGTCATCACAATCTTTTAATGAAGAAGAAAGATATAATAAACTAGCTGAAAAAGATGATCACATTCATTTTAATTTAGATGAAAAATCACATTTGATTGTTCAGCGGAGGAGAAAGAGAGAATAAACAAATTGAAAAAGATAATAAACAGTGGATTTGACTATTGATTTTCACAATAAATTGTAGAAGAAAATAAACCGATAAATAAATATAAAAAATAACCATAAACTTTATTAATTATTTATATATGGTAATACATGGATATCACATCTTTCAGATTCTCAATTTGTCACTCATTATCTCATATCAGTTCTTCCAATATGAGGTGGAACAACGTAACCCGAAACGAACACAATACCTTATTTAAAATCAAATCATCTTGATGGAAAAAAAAAAACTCAAATCATCTTAAAAGGGAAAAAAACTATGTGTATGAATATATAAATGGAATTTACGTACTTCCCCATTTCATTCCAGGTTGAACAGTCAAGCCACATGATTTAGCAACAAACACTACTTTTTCCATACTAACAAGCTTCTCAACGTCTGGTGTAACGTACTTTCATATGCATGGAATATTCAGGGTTTTTACCACATCACAGCAACTCTTCGACGGAGGGATTTCCGGCCCTGATATTTTAACGTACTCCGAGCATTGGGACACCAACCTCGGAATACTTGACTCACATTGGGCCGAGACTCCGTCGTGCTCCCCCCAGAGAGTTCCAGCAATCACCGACATTGCCAGGCTCAAGAAACGAAAGCTAGACGAAGCCATTTGCTACTTTTTTTCTTCTTCTTTTGTTTCTATCTAAGAAAAACAATGGTGATTTTGGGTTTGGTTTAGTATATATATTGATATTTGAGAGGAAAAGTTTGGTAATTTCTGACAGAAGTACCCATAAAGGAGTGGTCCTTTAATATAATTTGTTGTGGTCCATATTGGAATTATATCCTTTCAGTTGCACTTTCAAATTTTCTTTTTCTTATTTGAACTAAACTGTTACAATTTCATTTCATTATTATTATACGACAAATTTGAGTGAATTGCCTCATTATTCGCCCGTCAGACTTCAAAAGGAATTATTACTTTATTAGTAAGGGGTTTTAGTATTGTTTTGGAATTGCTGGTGACTTGTCCTATGGGTCACTGCATTGTTTATGCATCACTAATAGGTTATAAATGAGAAAAATTGAGTTCAAATATTACTGAATTTCATTCGATTCAAAAAATATTTAAAATTGAGGTCGATTGACTTAAAAGCTCACAAGTTTAAAATTACCAAATTTAATTTAAACTAAAAATAAAAATTGAAGCTTGTCTTGATTCAATAGCTTGTGAGCTTAAAATTTTTAAAGCTCGACTGAAAATCAAAAATTAAAGTTCAACTCAGGCTTTAAAAAACTTGAACTCAAAATATTTTCACACTTAGCTCGATTGAAACTCAAACTTGAACTTCAACCTTAAGTAAATGAAAACTTTATATATATTTTTTTCCAAAAAAAATATAAACGTTGATATTATTACTAATTTAATTTAAAAATAATATATTTTTCTTCAAGTTGCTTGCGATCTTTTCGAGTCCGCATCAAAAACTTGCTTCAACTCCCATTCGTTTTGAATATTAACCGAACTTTAACTAAGTTAATATCGAATAACTCGCAACCTGTCCCATCTCATTTACCGCTCTAATCACTCAAAAAACATTTCTACTCATGTATGCATTGTTTGTAGGCTCAAATAAACATTTCTTAATATATTTCTATTGGATATGAATCACTCCAATGTACCGTTTAATCCATGATTTAAACATCAGAAAATTTACTGTGACTCTAGTCCTACAAACAAATATAACCCCTACCACAATATCTCAGTCCTGTTACACCAGTTAAAAGTTAGACTGAAAATCTACCCTAAGTTGTTTTGTCCCATCATCTAACAAATTTAACAGATCTGCTAACTTATATGAATGCGATTAGGGAGAGGCTCCACCGGTAACTGTCTTTCAAATGATTGCTGTGAAACCTGAGGATTCCGATTTAAGCTTCAATTGAATACTGCAGATCATCATGGTAATGGCACTCTGCCTCATCCACAGTTGCAGGAGCATCAGGTCCTGTATCGATTCTACTATCTTGTGACATAACTTCCCATCAAATGTTAATGTTACTGTATATGGTTTCAATTCATTGTTAAAAATTTGTCAAGCACCTATACTTTGCTTCTCATTAAAGCAGTCCCATTTTGTTTGAATTTATATCCCAAGTTGGGAATCTGACTTGTAACCTGGAAAGGAGAGAGGGCACCATGTTACTTCCTCAGAAGATTCAGTTCTAGGTACCAACACCATTTTGTAATTCAGCCAATTGAGATTCATCAACTCTTTTGGCCACCTTACTGGGACAGAGAGGAGGGGTCGTCTTACGGCAGACATGACACCGAAATCCGATAATCTTGCTTTTGTTCTCTGAATTAAGCCCATAAGCATCTCCATGAAACCATTCTGCATAAAATTAATTGAAAGAAATATTATGGAACAATACAAACAATGAAAATTTCAAGCATCAGCATGGAGTGTGTTATTGTGAGAACTGGTTAAGAAAAAGATGAAAACTAATTACCTTCACAAATTTCACATGCAATATAGTTTGAATTAGATGCATATCCTGATTCACAACAAAGAAGACATCTGGGTGGATCAGGGGTGACAGTCATATGTTCAGAAGGAGCAAAAACCAATTTTCTTTGAAATTGTATCACCCGTTCATCGTCTGGCTTACTAGTTAACCGAAGACCATTAAGCCAGTAACTACGGTAAGCCCTTGTTCTCTTCTTCTGCCAAGAAATTTCCTTCATCTTCTTTGGTGCTTTCTTCTTTGGTTTCCTTTTGCCTTTCTTGCACCTACCAGGCTTTTTCTTTTGCAAAGGAACGTATTTTATTTTCCTAGGTGAACGGCGCAGTGGCACAGCAGCAGCAGCCGTTTTATCCTTATGTGACCGCAGTGACATTCGTACTGTCAGTAACTTTTCATTAGCCCTTTTACCTTTTTGTGGCAGTTTCCTTGCACTTTTTGCGCTCGTCTTCCGCCCCTGTGTGTCACCCTTTCCTCTTTTCATGACATTACCACCTTTTTTTGCATTGACACTCGACTTGCCATCTTGGCAGCGATGGCATGTATATGCGCACTCACTAATGATAGCTCCAGCGGATTTTTTAACGTGCCTCTTATGAAAATATCCTGAAATTATTTCAAACTAATCAGAAATGTGAATATATGTAAAGAAAGCACTTATGATTGGAAGCTCATAAAAGCATTTAATAACAAGAAAAATACACTTCATTAATATAGAAGAGCACCACTTACCCTTACAATGCTGACAGCAGACGGCTTCCCTGCCGATTTGATAAAAAAAATTACAGTTAATCAAAAGAAAACAGTTCAGGAATAACAACTCATTAAGTATCCATTAACTATGAAAATGGGCATCCTTGAACATAAACCAAAAACTTATCCCTGACCTCTGAAGTTTTGGATCATTTCTCTATGAAGGGTTTATTACTTATTAGTGCTTTAATAAGAATCGAGTGGACTGAATAATTCTCCATCCCAAATATATTCAGTGCATTATCTCGTAAAAGAACAATTATTTATAAACACCGGCAAAAAAATGTTAAAATGCCAATTTTGTCATTATGTTCTAGTATCTAACAAAACATATCTTTTAAGTTCTTTTTTCCTTTTCAATCTTAGTTATTAGCAAATTTTGAAAATAAGGTCTGACATCATATTTGAGACAGGGATTCGTAGAAACAGTTCCAATACCATGAAACTAAAAACTACAAGAAATGATAAAGCACTCAAAAGTAATTTCTACCTGATGAAGACATCTTTGTTACAATGCCCACATTGATAATACTCTGACCTTTCTGCTTTAGAGAAGAGATAGGCGAAACCCTTGTTCTTTGATGACTTTTTTGCCACCCTACTGATCTCAGTAGATTTTTCAGAAATCATCTTATTAGACATCCGGGCAATTTTCCTCTCTTCGAAACTTTTCACAAGATGCAAGGGCACATAAGATTCATTCAACCAATATTTCTTTCTTTCACTTGAAGATTCTTCAACAACAGTCCCACATCTTTTGACAATGTCAGGGATGATTCTCCTCTTCCCAAAATCAAGAAGATACTTCACCACATCTCCCTCTATGGATTTTCGGCGGACAACACATTTCTTGAACAGTCTAATTGATTTCTTAAAGTCCTTGTCTACTGTAGCAAGAGCATGTGAGCTTTCGATGTCATCCCACCTAATGTTTGATTCAAGTTCTCTTACCTGAAAATATAACAAGAAGTGAGCCAGCATTCAAAAGAATGGATTGTTCATGAAAACTTTAATAACCGTATTAAAAACATGTAACCGAAAAATGCAAATAATCAAGGCAACTAACCAACCATGTAAGGTCAACTGTAAAATATTATCAACTGCCTTGTGTCCACTTAGACATTTATAAATGAAAACATATGGCTTAATGATGTAACCATAGTTGGCCAAAATTAAATAAAGAAACAATACCAGAGATTATAACTAAATAGCATTTGCTTTGCATACATATCTAACATGCGCAAGATAAGGAGGAAATACACAAGCCAGTATCTAAAGTTGAATCCTATTGGACCCCAGGGAAAAAAACTAAACTTTCTCAAACTGCCAGACCTTTCAAGCCATTTTCTGGCCTCCTGTCAAACCCATCATCTTCCTTCTTGGGGTGTTCCACTCTTCAACCCAGCCACCTCCATATTTTCACCTCTCAACAGCCTCAAATCCCAATTACTACGTCTACTGCATCTCTTCTTTGCAGAAAACACCACTAACACACCATTCCATTTTTATTTGTTATTGTTTCCTCTTCACTTGAAGCACTTTATCTTTCTCTAACATACATCTAAAATGGTACATCAACCAACATTCACTTCCCCTAAACCAACCAAAAATCATCTAATTCCAAATAAAAGTTAATTGCGTCTGTAACCAAAAACAAAGACCCAAAGTTCTGCCCTTCCCAAAAGTGATTATAACATGGCTACAATGAAAACTGACACAGAAGCCCAAGAAATTCCCCTCCTACCAAAGTTCTCTCTTAAGACCCAATGTTCTATCTTAAAACCTTTTTTTCATTTTAAAGCTTTTAATCAAGAAAATTAAAAAATAAAAGGAATAAATACTTCTTTTCATTTTACAGGAAAAAAATAATGCTTTAATGCATTATATTATGATAAATTATTGTTTTTACATATTAACCATTTGAAGTTTTCCAAAGTTATAGTCTTTTCCATACAGCCTCATGGGTTTATATATAGTTATAGTCTTTTCCCCCGTAGCCTCGTGAGAAAGAAATCAATATTTGGAAAAAAAAATATTTAAGCCACAGGATATTATGCTTACAATCAGTGCAGCTACATTGCAAGAATTACAAAATAATAGAAAACTGCATGAAGGTGGAAGTCAATAGCCTACATTTCTTTACAATTCAATCAACAAACACAGCTGGAAGATAGGCATCAATATTTTCCCTCCACTTTTGCAGCTATTATCTATTACAAATAAGACATGAGGGGGTAAGGAATCATACCTGGAAAGCAAGTTGTTGTACATTAGTTGATGACTCAACAGCAGCTCGCCATGTAACAGATTTGCTTCTCTTTGAAAAATCTGAACTCTCAGGATAGAGTATGCCTGGTATCTTTTTGCCTCCACCTATAAATTTTAAACTTTAAAGAAATTCAGAATCATTATTCTTTTTTTTAACAATACCAACCAAAAACTTTAGAGAATGCTAGGAAAAATGCAGACCTTGCCTAGCGGCCTTGGAAACCAAAGAGCGAGGTAAAACCTTCCAGTTGAACAACTGACGAGAAAACGTACCACCTCTCCACCAACAAATACTTGGTCCAACAGCAGGATTCGAAGTTCTTGCAATACCATGCTTGGCAGATCCACGACTTGAAGCAATCACAATATGAGAAGCTGAACCCATAGTGACAGCAGAATCCACATGTTTCATCCAGTCTGTTGAAAGAGCAAGATGATGCAGGTTTGCCTCTAACTGTACATGTAAGACAAATAATGTCACAAACAATAGAAAATAAGCTCCAAGTAGTATAACCTATATAACTTACCAGTTTTATATTCTTTTAAGTGGTTATAGTTGATAGATGACCAGTATCTAGCTCAACTTATTCAAAGCGCTAAGGTGGGAGAAGCTAACATAACCAAAATAAACCAATCTAACCTTCTAAAAGAACTTGAGTGAACCAGATATGAATTCACTAGAAAACACGGGTTCTATTATGACCCTAACCCAAAGTCCAAAATTATCTGAACCTGAAAATATTTTCCTTGACATGATAATGTGGAAAAGTTTTTGGAAACCCAAATGTCCAGCCAAACCTAACCCGACCCAGTTTAACACTAAAACATCAATGAGTTTAATGGAAAACAATCCACAAAAGTCGAAAAGAAACCCAACCTGACCCAACCATTGCTGCCACCACTAAATAAACAATTTTCAACAAATTTCCCTTCGCAGCAATCAGTGTTATATGTGTGTATGAATAAAAATTTGAAAGAGATTGATAGCAGTAACATATAAAACAGAAATTTCTACATTTTACAGAAACTAACTAGAAAATACTTACCGTTAGCAATAAATGTTTAACAGATGCAATACTAGATGCCTTGAGAATGCTTTTATGCCAGATCTTCATGTAGTGTAGATTCAGCCATGGACCCGAAAGAAGCCCATCCAAACGATTTTCGATGGAAAATATATGACACATGACATCAATAACATGGCCCTTTTTATTCCACCTTGACTGAAGGTCAACCATCTCACTTTTTGAAACTTGCGGAACACAACCCAAAGCAATTTTAAACAAGCAATCTGTATCATCCACAGGATATCTACAGGGGAAGCACCACCCACAATTTTCTTTACGAGCATCTACATATATATTATGAATATCCGGCCAATGAAACCTGTTGGATTTCTTCAAAATAACCTTCATCTGCATCGCAATTATCTCCTCCAGCGATAAAAGGGAATCATCATTTGTTTTTTCTGCTGGCTTACGCATTAACTCTTCTACAACTAATGTGGCAGTTTGGGCAAAACTATAGTGGTTCATGTAGCCATTCCCAGGCTGCAATTGCGATGCATCACCTCTTTTTGCATTTATGACACGTGAAGCATGGGGAGAAGCTAACTTTCTCTTGCTTTCTTGCTTAACATCTAAAGCATCAGATACCAAAGAACCGTCTTCAAGAGTTGAACAGCTTCCTGGTATCTCAAATTGGTTTGAGACCTCAACAGATCCCTGTTCCCGAAAGTTAGGAAAGACTGAACCCATTTGCATTGTTTCAGCTGACCCTTCAGAACTCATATGTGGAATTTCTGTTCCAGCCACCAAATCCAACATGTTTGCCGACTCTGCCACCTCAATATCATGATGACCAGAATTTCCAGCAACTCCTTTCGCTTCTGGATTTCCACCAGAAGCAGCCTCATTCTTTATGGTACATATTTCTGCAGAAAAAACAGTTGGCAGGGATGAGCCAACAGTTGGAATTTGTCCCTTTCTACGTGTCTCTGAACAAGAAGAATTCAGAGATTCAAAGTTATTACTAGCACCATTTGAGCCAACAGCTACATCCCACTGCTTGCAAATTACTTTTAGTATGTCACTATACTGGCATGAAGATTTTAGCACATCAAGTACAAGGTTGAGGTCACATCTATGGTAGTAATTTGATGGGTATTCAGCATCAAATGAATCTAACCTGCAATATCAACATCAAAATGTCAGTAACAGCAGAAGCAACAACATATTGAAAGTCATTAACCTTGAAATAAGTAAACCTCTGTGTCCATATTTTATTAGATGATGGAAATAAATGCTTGTATCCTGCTTAAGATGCAAATGGAATCTGAGATAGACAAAGATAGGGGAAATAAAGGACAATACATTCAGAAATGGACACAAACACGGGCAGAAACCAAATCATTTAGAGTAGTAGACCAAAGCAACTCAAATTCTATCATGACGCAATAAAATACTCATCCATCAAATTAATTTATTAGAAAGAAAAATACTTCATCATGGATAACACAAAACTCTAACTGATAATTGATTTTTGGACATGTGCAAAAGAATATTAAATCTAGTGTTTGTTGTTCATAATTATGTTACTGTAACAAGTCACAAACTATTGAAGTTGTTGTCTTCTGGTTTTGTAATTCATAAAAGTTTTAAACCTAGGATTAGAAGATAAGTTTTCTGGTTATCTTAAGCAACCTCTCTTGTATGTGTGTGTAAGCAATGATATTATAACTCAAACAGAAATACGCAACAAATATTTTGGGTAAAAAACTGTGCAACAATATCATTCACACAAAATGATGGTTAAAAAATAGAAGCATGCTAATCATCAATCTGCAGATTTTATATGGACATCAGAAATTCCCAAAAAATCATAATCATGTTAAATAAAATGATTCTTCTGAAAAACAAGGCAACACAAAGTGTCATAAATGGTGAGGATGGCTGTTAAAGGCTGTGTCAATGATGTCTCCATATCACATACCATCTGTATGGATAATGACATGAAGATTCCATGGTTAAAGGATTATATATATATAAATACAGCTCATCAAGTTATTGCCTTCTTTACACAATCGGGTTAATAATAGCTACTAATAACTGTTAAAACAATTTCTGACAAAATAAGAATTAGGAGAGAAATGATAGATCAAAAGAAAAAAGAGAACAAGGGTTATGATCAGTCTTCATCAATAAGCCAGGAGAGAACTTCCAACTCATAATATAGACATGCCTTCATGACTCATCAACAAAGGTAGTACTAGAAATCATTATTTAAAAAGTTGGGTAAAACAAACTTACACCAACAAGTAACCAGAGCTGTTATAGTATAACCGACCATGAGGATCAATGCCCAAAAGCTCCGCTCCTCTAAGTGATTTACGAGGTTTCACCCAAGGCTTCTCTCTTTCAATTGCACATTCAGGGCAATACCAGTCACCTTCTGGCAAAAGAGCATTCACAACACCTACACACTTTGAATGGTAAGCAGCAGGACAGCCATCACAGCATATTAAACTCCCATCCATCTTACAAAGGCAGCAATCATCACTATTCCAGTCAGTAGTGTCATCAATTATATCCTCACTTAAGCTAGATCCACCTGATACATCCATGGAAACTTTTCTTTTCTTGCAAACCCCATTGTTCATATTTCGATCAAAATCCATGTCAGGCTCAGATGCCAAAGACCTTCTATTAATCTCCAATCTTACAGCTTCAACCTCAATCAAATCATCACACAAACACCTAAGTATCTCAACCTTAACAGATGCAGGTAGTTTATAATAGTCACTTCTGAATAGTTTCAAACTAGTAAGATCAAAACCATAACCCAATCCGGAATCATGAATGAGTAGATACTCGACCAAGAAAACGGGCCATGTAATAGAGTCCAAGAAACCCCAATTAAGACTCCTACATTGTATGATCAACAAGAAATATTAAACAATGATAATTGGCAAACAAAAACAATGTTGGAAACGCAAGGGAAAGAGAGAGAAAAGAAACGGAAAGGAAAAAATACCTTAAACATTCAGAAGCAGATTCAGAACCTTCATTAGATAAGTACTCCAAATGCTTTTTCAGAGTTTGCAAAATGGAAACGTGAATACAATCAAATAATGTGCTGGGAGACTGGCACTTCAGTGCAGCCACAAAATCCTCCAACTCAAAGGGACTTAAAAATAGTAAAGTACTAAATGACCGCAAACAAGCATAAATAGAAAAAATATCAAGTACAGAAATCCCATCCAAATTCAAATTCTTGGAAGATGGTGGTAGTTGCAGTTTTGGAGGAAGAACAACAGGCCCTTCAGACACTTTATGACCTGAACTAATTGGTTTCACCTCTGTTACTGCGCTAACTGAAGGAGATGTTGCCAAACCAGAAACGACACATGTTGCAGGTGGTGGTGAGCTTGAAACACGATTTCTAGAAGACCCTCTACGAGCACTTCTTCTTAAGACCCTTTCTGTTGAAGAATCCAAGTCCTTTCCAACCTTTGTTCTCTTTCTCCGACCACTAGCTTGTTTGAATGCACTTCCGTTATCAACTTGGCACCCATCAATTACTGCAGCACCAGACTCAGGGACACCCTCTAACCCAACTGTGCCACAACCATCAGCCTTGACGACATCCAGATCCACAACAGCACCCTTCTCAAGGATTCCTTCAGCAGAGCTAAAATCTGAATGATCTTTTTTCAATTCCTTGTTAGAAACACCCTCTGCAACATCATTTTGCTCCATTGTCTTTGTTTCTTTCGGTATCTCTGCACAAGTGGTAGATTCCCTCACTTCCACTTGCCATCCACAGTTACCATCAATAGCATCTTTGTCAACCTCCTCATCAGCCCCTAAATTCAAATCAAAACCGCATTCCTTCCCTTGGGTTTTGCAATTAAGATTGATATTATCATCCAAATTGCAACTAGCGTCCAAATTCAAATCAATAAACCCTCTCTTCTTCACATTCTCTCCCCCGCCACAAGAAATTCCATTATCATTTAAATGATTATTAATGCAATAAGTATCATTAAGATTCAAATCAAACCCAGAAGAATTCAAGTCAAACTCATTTTTCATTTCAATATCCCCATTCCTATTCAATTTCAAATCCCTCATAGATCCAATTCCCTTATCATCTAGAGTTTCACTCAAATTCCCATCAATACCCTCATTCTCCTTCAAATTCCCATCAATAACCTCATCCTCCTTCAAATCCCCAGCAAAACCTTCATTCAGATCAACATTTGTATTTAAATTCAAACTGGTATTAAGAGCTAGGGTTTCTTTATTTGCAGTACCTGGACAAACACGAACTTTCCTCTGAACACGGCGTCGTTTTCTGGGCCTTCCAACCCTCGGCTTCTCACGGACAACCTCAAACTCAGGGTTGGATCTCGGGTCAAGGGTTGTGTTAGAAGCATCAGCCATGACAAGAGAAGCAACTTGATGAATGTCAATTTCCTCCGAATGGCCGTCCTCGAAAAGGATCTTGAAAACCCCAGATGAGGAATCAAAGGAATCAACAGTGCCGGACTGAAGACCAAATCCTTTAAACTCTTTCTTCACGGATTTGCCCACAAACTCCATTTTCTCATTCTTGCTTCTTTTTCTGTAGTTTCTTCCCCCTGTTTTTTGAAATTCGAAAAACTAAAGTATTTGTGGGGACTAAAAGGGAGAAAGAAAACCCAGACAGGAAATGTTGATTAAAATTCAACCAAATAAGATTCGGAAGGGTTTTAGTTGGACGGAGAAGCAAAAGGGAATTATGGGTTTTCTTCTTAACACGGAGAAATTATTTGAATTCAAGGGTTCAAATGGGTAAGACTTTGGTTTCTTTGTAATAATAATAATATTAGGAGAAAATGAAGAAATGGGGTCTCTTTCAATTCAAGAGACGGAGACAGAAAAAGAGATGAACTTGGGACGAAAGGAGCGATGTCAGGTGCGAATCAGATGTTAAGGTAGAAAACGGCACAATGTGAAATCTTTTTTAATTAATAAAGATTGGTTTTTTATGAAAATTTTGCTTCTTCCTCTTACAATTTGAACTCGTTATTTATTGCCTGATCACTGGTCAAAAGAGGTGGGTACTATTGGGATGAAAAAGCAAATTATTTAATTTTAATTTTTATATGAATTTTATTAAATATCAGCTTAATTCTTAAAATGATTGATTTTTAGTTTTTTAAAAAAAAAAACAAATGGAACTAGAAACTAGCTAGTAAGAGAACAGTCTTCCTGCAATATAGCAGTCATTTCTACAGGAAGATCTGAAAAATGTACAAAGCCAATAGGAGCTACATAGTCTGTAGCTTTGTTCTATTCGCAACGTATATGTAGAATCTTTATATTCCAATCACAATTCTGGAGTTTAAAGATGACCTCAACCAATGTACTTCCGATTAACTAACGGTTAGTTTAGGGGATAAAACATTAAATCCATTAATTAAGACGCTATATTTCCTATAATAATCTTAAGAATTATTAAATTCTCGCTAAGTTCATTAATAGGTTGGAATAGGGTTCAAGCCAGGCTTGTAATAGGTTTGGGTATTGGGTAAATGCTTGGGTAATTTATATTTAGGGTTCCTAATTGAACTTAAAATCCTTAATTTTTAAAAAATTTTCTGTTGGAATTCTCTTATTGGTTAGTGAATCTTAAAATATTATATCTAGTCTATAGGATTAACTCCTCTGTTCGAGAAAATCAAATTAACGATGATATTTTTTTCTTCATTTGAGGATACTTAGTCGTGTTTAGATGATCAAGTCCTCTACACAAAAAGTCAAATTGAGGATGGCATTACTCATTCTCTTCAAAGCAACTAATCAAGTTTGGATGATCGACTCCTCGACGTGAGAAAATTAAATTGTGGATGATATTGCTCATTCTCTTGAAGACAACTAATCAATTTTAGATGATCGATTATTCGGTGACCTTAGGGTCTTGACAATAATATTTTTTAACTGTTATTATGGTGTAAGCACTTAAAAATGTATTTTGGAAACCTCAAGCACTTACTTTGAGTGAAAAATATTTTATGAACCTAAAATTAACAAATTGTATGGTTTGGGTCTTTACTTTTTTCATTAACCTTATTTTAAAAAATATATAAAAGATAATATTGTCATATTATAATAATTAATGAGATGATTTTCTAACTCGTTATAATGTTATTTCGTTAATTATTTGTGATGGAAGAATATTTTTCTCATGTTCTTTAAATCAAAACAATGTTGTTTTGTCACGAGGATGGGGTAATGTCCCAACTTACTAAATTGTAACTTTCTTAATTAATTATAATAAGATAACCTTAATGAAATTCATATTCGTTTAAGGGATCATATTTTAAATTTATATTCACATTCATAACTTTTTAAAAATTGGGATAATATATATATATATATATATATATATATATATATATATAGCGCTTTTATAAGTGTTTGATCATATTTAGTCTAAAATAAACGATGATTGTTTTATTTTTTCTAAAAATTAACAATCATGATAAATATTTTTAAACTTAAAAATAATTTTTGAAAACATTATACTAATAATAGTTTTAGAAAATATAAAGAATTGAATTAAATTAAAATTTCATGTATACAATCAGATTAGAATTTATGTGTAGCTTTAATAATTATCCATAATATTCTTTACTCGGGTATTATAAATTATCTCTATGTTATTAACCGATTACAAAATATTATCATTCGCTACTACCTTATACATCATACACTATTAATTCAAAATTATTTATCTTTAAATTGATTTTTATACATTAACAAAAACAATAAAAAATGATATACCAAAATGGCCAATTACAAGAAAATACCATTACAGGTTTAGGAGAGACATGTCACCATCCTAAAATCCGAGTGATTTTTCTTCAAATAATTACTTCATTTATTAATTGTATTCGCCTTGAAATTTCATTTGTGTTTACCCTTACAAAATATTTACGTGATTAATATGTATGTGTAGATATCATGAGAAATTATATTCACTTTAAAAAAATATTTATGAATTCGATACTGATCAAAGGGTAGATATCATGAGAATTTATTCTATTAGTCCATTCAGTCTTCAATCATAATCTCTCCAAATGAAAAGATTATAAAAATAACCTAAATAAGTCTCTTAATTCTTCAAATATAACATTATCTGTCTAATTCTCATGGCCAAATAAAACTGTATGCTACTAAATTTACTTTCAAATCATTTCTTACCTTGCAAATGCAGCTACCTAAAGCAGGTCCTCAGACGAAAAAAATCAAAATGAAAGAAAAGATGAACCAAAATTGCATGCAGCTCGTTTTTCGGTCGAAAACGGTACGAGTTTGCTTCCCTTTACGAGAAAAATCCTATGCATCCTCATCATTCTCTACCAATATCCTTTTGCATGCTTCATAGCACATGAAAGAAATCCCAGCAGCAGGTACCAACTTAAGGCAACTAGGACCCAAACCTTTATATAGACCTTGAATCCCTTCTTGTTCGAGAATGCTGGCAAGTGCATGCAGCACATTCTTATAGACCTGTCTCCCGTTCAGAGCTCCAACCTGCATCTGCTTGCGAGCAACCTCGAGCGGAAAGGTTGCACTGCTTGAAATAGCTCCGGCTAGTGATCCAATTAAAAGGGTTTCGATGTTGCCAATTTTCTCCTCCTTAAAAACTTTACGGTACACTTTCCGCAAGGTATCATATGCAAAATAATTAGTGGCAGCATAGGGAATTACTCCAATGAGACTAGGAGCAAGGCCTCTATAAAGTTCAGCAGGACCCTCCTTTTGCAGAATTTTTACGAAAGCATCAACTATACCATCATACATGTCTTTCTGCAAAATTAAGAGATCTCGGATAAAAGTGAAAACAAATTTTACTCGGTGAATTACAAATGTTAGGAAGTGGTTACCTCAATGGTTATTCGAGTCTTAACTAACTCAAGAGGATATGTCACCAAAGTTGAGCTGACTCCAGCACAAGCCCCAGCAAATAATGACGCAGGAATCGGAATTTTTGGTTCTTCTCCAGGTTTGGGTGACAACCGCTTGTTCACAGTATCAAAAGCGAATAGCTGCAGTACATGGGGGATTAGTACTTGAATACGTTAGGAACAACTGTAACCATCATCTTTAGATAAAAACGCAACAAAGAATCCTAAAATAGATGCATCTGATCATTCCACCATCATACTGTTGCTCTACTGGATTTAAATGGGAGAAAAGTTCATTAGCATTGGCACAAATCATGTTTACTGTCGATGCCTTCTGTGAGTTCTGTACGACGACCATAACAAGGCCGCAAAGACTACAAGTATAGCGCAAAACCATCCTCTGAAACAAGCCAACAACCAAACAAACGTGTGGCTAGTAATAATAACATGCAACAGGTTCGACGATATAACTGAGTTGAGGAATTAAACTGCCAAAGCTGCACCAAGCAGTGAAGCACAGAGCTAATGACAGCAATGTTAACCAAAAATTATCTTCTCCGCCTCTTTCATATCTATAAAAGTTTAATATTTTCAATATTTGAGAAGATGAGAGCCTGAAAGAAAATTGCAGAAGAAAAAAGCACATAAAGGCTTTACTTACAACCTAGTATCAATCATACTACATGCATCCACTGGATCACTGAACCAGTGGAATAGGTATTGTGCTAAAGGAAGATTTCGTAACCAAAAAAAGTCAATATAATAGGAATTGTCGAACTGATGCCAACCACCATTAACCAACACACTAAAAAGTTTGCATCTTAAGTAGTTTAGCCGGTCTCCTTATATTTATTTCATCATCCTTCAGTAAGATTAGAACCATAACCATAGTCAATAACATATTCTAGTTTTTTAAGAACACCAGAAAGATAGCTAAGAAAAATTAGCAGTCGATATATTGGCAAAGAATTAACTAAGACATGGAAACATCAATCAGTGAAAAACAAAAGCTGATATGCCTTTAATGGAGCAGAAAGGTGCAACTGTATATACACACAATGTTCATCATGATGAAAGAGTTCTTCCTCTTCTTGCCTTTTATTCTGCCTTAACCAGTAAGTTGTATGAAATATAAAAAATAAAGCAGTAAGAAAATGAAAAATCAAATTCCTGGGGTGGTTGTCACAATTCATGGTTGCACCATCCCTATGCGGTAGGCACCAAATATATTTACTATTCCATTACGAAAACGCTTATCTAAGGTAATCGGAGCTCTGATTAGTTATCCAAACAATAAGAAAACAACCACTTTGATCAATTTATATAATCTGGCTACAAACACCTTATTGTTAAGATAAAATTATAAAGAAACGCCAATGCAATAATGAAATATAAAGCTATCAACTAAAGAAAGTCAATTTAACACGCTAGAGAAAACAAGATACGCAGTTAGACAAAGTATCAAGTAAAAGGCTGATACCAATAAACAGAAGCTAAAATGGTGTCAGATGCTAGCATGGATTTAAATAGGCTATCGGAATAGTGGCCATTATATAGCAGCAACGGTGCAGTCTGAAACAACCACAATTTAAATCCCTGGATACTAGCATCGAGTATGTGACTGCATTGATATTTGGTAAAAGAGAGAAAACATTAAAACAAATATCAATCTAAACCACTGGCATTCCAAAAACAACAACCATATAGATTGACCAAAATATTTTACTGCAAAAAAGAACACCCACAAATCTAAGAAACAAGCAATTGGTTATATTCAGTACCACAAAACCATAAAGATGATGAATAACATTCATAAAAATGGCAATAAGAGTTCAGGGATTGAATACCTCAATCGCTTTGCTTGGCGCAACTCGAATGACATTAACAAAATTACCCCTAAACAACCCTTTCCACCCATCAGTCTGCATTATATTATGGAACACCTCAGTTGTAGTGTTCCCACTACTTCCAACCATCAAATGTGTCCTTATTGTCTCCAATGGCGCAACACAGGTCCTTGAAACAGCCCCAGCTATGCCACCACTTATTAACCTCCTTAATGAAGGATCAGAAACTTTGATTTTCAGTTTTAACCCAACTTTCTTCTTCCTCCTCTTCAAAGAAGCTTCCTCTTCAGGAACTCCAACAACTCGAATTTCCTCTTGAAATGGTAAATATTTCAGAACCAAATCAGAAAACGGGGCTTTAATTCCACCATTGTTACGGGGATTCGGGGAGCTTGGTGAGACTCCAAATCCCATTCCCATTTGTCCAACGCTTGCAAATAAGCCGACTGGATAGCAGTTGTTTTGCTCCACATTCCATTGAGACCCAGAATCACACATAGAGAAAAACCCATCTTTTTTATGACCAAATAACGGGATTCCTCTCTTGCCCATGATTGAAAAAACTTCTGAAAACAAATTTTAAGAAGGTATTCTTTTATCTAGGGTTGACTGAATACAGAATCCGTTTCATCATTATCTCAAGAGAATTGAGAGTGCTTGTGAAGCAAAGATTCGTCTCGGGACAAATGGGTGCTTAAATAAACAAATTTTGAGGAAAGGATACAAGGAAAAAATCGACTTTTAACAATAAAAATAAAAGGCGATGAAAACAAGAAACAAATGGGAAATTATAGGAACACTTAAAATGAAAAAGAGGGAGGCGAGTAGGTGGCAGTGATGTTGTTTGTCAAAACTCAGAAGGCCATTATATAACATATACTGCTAGGGTTTGTAATCCCATAGGTTTGGTGTTTGGTTTCTATTGTACTTCAAATCCAACAAGGGAAGTGAGAATCTGCATTGAACTTCTTCCCTTCCGTTGCTTTAAATGAAGAGAAATCAGAATACTGGGAAAAAGGCTATTGAGTTCCCAAAAAGATACCTTTGGTGTATACTTTACAGCATGGAGGGTGTACAAGATAAGACATTAATATAAGATTTAGAAAAGATATTATCTAAAATATTAATATTTTTTATCAGACATATTATTATATAGAATAGGAAAGACGATATTAAAAATGTTATTTTTTTATCAAAAATATTAATACGGGGTCTTATCTAAAATATTATTTTTATATCATAAATGTTAATATGAGAAATATTTATTTTAGGTAATAAAATTAACATTTCTGATAAAAAAATAATATTTTAAGTAAGATTTTATGAAAATATTAAAAAAAATATTAACATTTTAGATGGTGTCTTTCCTTAATTCATTCCATTTTATTTTAAGTTGTTTTTCTTTTCGTTTGAGTTTGACCTAATTTAATCCAAAAGTTTTTCGATACGGTAATTTAATTTTAGATCAAAAAATAAAGAAAATGAACATAATAAAAAAAATGTTATATTTGAAAGTATTAAACTTTTATGTATGCATTTCTATCAAAAATTATAATTATTATGATTTATTTAGATAATTAACTTTTTTTTAAATGTAAACTAAAAAAAGTATTGTTATCTACTCAAAAGTTTTAGCAAGTCCTACTTTTTATATTATTATATTACGAGTTAATTATATTATATATTTTTAAATTATAATTTTATATTAAATTTAATCTCAACTTTTCTAAATTTTAAAATTTTATTTTTTATTCTAAATTATTCCTCAAATTTTTGAATATTTTAATTTTATCATTAAATTTTTAGATTCATTCTAAATTGGTCTTTAAACATTTGAATCTTTCAATTTCATCCAAATATATAATTAGTTTCAGTCATAATTTAACCTAATTTTTTTTCAAATATATAATAATATAGCATGTCCTAACGATTTTATTAACATGAGATGTGATTATCATATACTTATAATTTGGGATGAATTGAAATGTTCAAAGTTTTAGGACCAATTTAGAATGAATGTCATTGTTTGATGATGAAATTGAAATAATAAAAATGTAACACCCCAACCCGTATCCGACCCGAATACGAGTCCGAGATGTCACATTGACTTTTTGAAATAACAAAACATTTGAACTTATACTAAGAAAATACACTAATATTCTATTAAATTATGCTTCATTATAAAAATTTGAAAAAATACGTATTTATGAACAATATTATACGGTATGAACAGTACTATATGGTATGAACAATACCGTGAACAGTGAAAAATTTCAAATATAAATTATGTATCGATGCACTGCTACAGTAACTTCGGCAAAATACTTATAAATTTATAAAAATCTAAGTTTTCATTCGTATAAAATTTATCATTTACATATACACATTTAAAACATTACAAAACTCAATCATATGATTTTACAAAGCCGATTAGAATATATCGGATTTAAACCTTTATTTACATGCCAACCACTATCCTTATTACAAAATACATACTATACATTTCTTTTATGATCTGATCTTTGGAAACGAGAAACTGACCTGTCTTGCATAACTTTTAGCAATCATCCTCTTCTCTGAACCTACGCGTGAAACAATCACACGCTAAGTCGTTGACTTAGTGAGGCATATAAAACATATAATAAAAACCATAAAACGTTTCATATATCAAAACACATACATTCACATATACCATCATATTTATATTCATATATCAAATCCACACATGTACATATATGATTATCTTCTTTCTTATCATTATCTTATTATCATCATTAATACCTTTTATCATATAATCATATACTTACCATTTATACACATCATATATCATTTCATAAAGAAATACATTTAACATCATATATTTCATGTAATACAATTCATATAATTAAAATCATATATCTTTCATATAACCAATACTTGAATCCTGTAATTTATTCTATATAACAAATCACATATACATATCACATTCAATATATTTGTTTAATCTCTTTATTAGCCCATGCACACCTGTGAGAACTTAAGGTATATGAGGACATTGAGGTTGTGCACTTATGCTGTCACCACAGCTCGTATAAGTCTCACTGAGTGACATATGAAATTTGTCCCGAAAGACCTATGTAACTGTCCATATGTTCCAAAAAAACATAGGTAAACTGTCCATATGTTCCGTAGAACATAGGTAACCCTCGACTCTTGGTATGCCAACTATACCACTAGCTCTCATATCATATAACATGGGCATTATCATTTATACATTTCATATCACTTGTTCTTTCTCTTCTGTCACATACCACATGTATGTGTAACCATATCACTTGTTCTTTCTCTTCTGTCACATACCACATGTATGTATAACCATATATCTCATATCATATCACGTGTATCACAAGTGCATGTATTCACGTAGTTTACTTTCATGTAATTCATGTCACTTTTTGTAACCCCCCGGACCCAGTCTGTAAGATAGACTCAAACCTAAGTGGCCACATATCCCATTCAGAGTTTTTTTTATATATAACTTAAAGAACGTTAAATATAATATGGAACAAAATATTAACAATACAGATATGTCCAAAATTATAGCAAATAAATGTCACCAAACATAACTGAAAAACATATAGAAATATATGTTCGTACAAAATAAGTAGTTGATTTCCCCTGATGCCAAATCTGCTAGTTCACGGTCTGTTGTTATCTGAAAAAGGGTAAAAACTATAGAATAAGCTAAAAAGCTCAGTGTGCTCCAAACAGTATAAAAAAATATACAAATAAAATCTTTCAATGAAATCGGTTTATGCAACATGTTTTTTTTTTATTTTTAAACATGAACACTACCCCCATCCGTTCACATCATAATTGTGTAGGTTCCCCAGAACCATACACCCAACCGCACATGTCATTTAGACCCTGAGCACAAAGCCGAGAAGTCTGCAGATAATCTTCCTTCAATATTACCCCCAAATGACAAAATTAAGCATGAATGTATTCAAGTGAAAACAATGATTAATCACTTAAAACATAAAAATATTTCATGCTTGAAAACCATATGCAGAAATACAAAAATCAGAATTCAAATCAGTAATATATGATAATTCAGATGTCATATAAGCAGATCTCAAAAATCGGTATGAAATACCTTAATTCAGAAATTATATCAGAATATACAGTAAATCAGATATCAAATACTCAGTATTCGAATGAATCATTTTAAAACAGTAATGTAATACTGTCAGGAAACACACCTGTAACAGTCTGAGAAATCGGATAGGGAAGCCTACTACTGGGTTTATCGATCACGCTCTGCTGCAGTGCTAGATCCTACAAATTGTAAAAATCCATATTGGAATTCTAATAAAAATAATCTTAATCTTTACTTAAAAATATACGGAAACCTACGGGTAATTCTTGTATTACACAGTTCGGACTGATCTGATGAACGAACAACACCGGACCTAATTGATCCTTGCTCAGGTGAAACACGAGTACCTTCATAACATATTTTTATTGAATCAATCCTTGACCAAATCTCAATTAAATAATCAAAATATTAAAATACTAAGCCTTTTTGGGTTCACAAGCTCGATTTAGGAATTTCGGGTTAGAATTTGGCAAAACGGACTTCGGAATCAAATTCAAGACATCGAAAAACATAAAGTATGACCATCCAAAATTTCGAATTCTTGGTCAAAATTAAAGTCAACGGATTTGACTGACGATTTGGAGACTTTTGGGTTTGAATTTAGCGAAACGGACCCAAAAAACGGATTCGGGACGTTGAAAACTGTCAGGATATGTATTTTCGGAAAAGATTAACGGTCGTTTAATAGGCGGTCAAAGCCGGTCAAAGTTCTGGTCAAAGAAGGTCAACAAACTGTCAAACATTTTACACAAATAGTACCTTTTTAAAATAATTACCAAAATAGCACCTTTTCGAATTAATTTCCAAAATAGCACCAATTTTGAATTAATTCCCAGAATATCACTTTTTTGAAAAATTACCAAAATAGCACCATTTCGAATTAATTCACAGAATAGCACCAAAATCAAATAAATTCCCAAAATAGCACCGGTAAACGGGTCGGGTCAACGGGTCGAGTCGGGTTAACGGGTCGGATCGTGACCGGTCAAAACAGATTCAAAACCAGTTAAACCGGTTTTCAGCTTCCACTCGCCCTGCGGCGGCGCGTGTGGGCGCATGAGGTGTCATCCGGGGCTCTAAAAATTACGGAAAAATTTCTAAAAATTATTTTGAGCGATTTCGAGATACTTACAAAGATCGGTTCAAATTTTTGAACGGCGGAGATCTCGATTTCATCAAATCGGAAACTTTGACCGCTTCACCTCCCCACGCGCCGCCGTCGACGGAGACCGAGGATGACACCGACGGACTCGGAACGGCACAAGGAACACGATGGTGCGGAATGTGTCGTAAACGGAGCAACGATCGGCGATGAATTTAGGATTTTCTAGGCGATTGAGCTAAAAAAACGTCGATGCTTTGACTTGAAATTCACGGTGTTTGGCAGCGTTTCGCTTCAATTAAATTGAAGGGATTGTTCCTGACTCGATAACGAACACGATGGTGCTTTCAAAACGGCGATCGGAATTCGGACGGCGTCGGGATCGTCGTCGGAAGTTGAGGTAGGAGAAGAAAAATTTGGGCGTGGTTTTCTGTTTTGAAAACAGAAAACCACGTATTCATATATATATATAAACCAAAACATACCTAACATTTAAGGGTAAATTCAGGGCTTGGTCCCTGAATTTTCTTTTAACTCTAAAACAAGCTACAAGTTTAAAGAACTTCCAATTTAGTCCCCAAATTTCACAAATTTTCATAATTAACCTCAAATTTCAATTAAACATTATTTTGAAATTTTCGGGTTGTTATAGTTCTCCCCCTCTACAAGAAATTTCTTCCTCGAAATTTACCTTATGAAAACAGATGAGGAAATTGAACCTCCATTGACTCCAAGGTCTCCCAAGTAGCTTCTGAAGGGCTACGATTACTCCACTGCACTTTGACCATTGGAATACGCCTATTCGAAGAACTCGTTCATCTCTTTCTAAAACCTGAACAGGCTCCTCCTCATAAGACAAATCAGGTCTCAACTCTACCTCATCAACCTGAATGATGTGATCTGGATCTGGACGGTATCGCCTTAACATAGACACATGAAAAACATCATGAATACGAATGAGCTGTGGAGGTAACTCAAGCTGATAAGCAACAGGTCCAACTTTCTTCAGAATACGATACGACCCAATAAATCGCGGACTCAGTTTACCTTTACATCCAAATCTCAATACCTTCTTCCATGGAGATACTTTGAGGAAAACCTGATCTCCAACCTCAAACTCGATATCCTTACGTCGCTTATCTGCGTATGACTTCTGCCTATCAAATGCCTCTCTTAAGCGATCACGGATCAGTCTGACAATATCTTCAGTCTCTCGAACCAAGTCTGGACCCAAAATTTTTCTATCATTCAACTCTGTCCAACATATAGGAGTACGACATCTACGTCCATATAGAGCCTCATACGGTGCCATGCGAATACTTGCCTGATAATTATTATTGTAAGCAAACTCAGCTAACTACAAGAAATCTTCCTAACTACCACGGAAATCAATCACACAACCTCGTAACATATCCTCCAACACCTGAATTACTCGCTCAGACTGTCCATCAGTTTGAGGATGAAAAGTTGTACTGAAATTCAAACGAGTGCCCATAGCCTCGTGCAAAGCTTTCCAGAACCTAGAAGTGAATCTCGAATCTCGATCAGATATGATAGACAACGGAACACCATGAAGTCTAACGATCTCAGAAATGTACAACTTAGCCAGTTTATCCAGAGAATAATTAACCCGAATATGGATAAAGTACGCTGACTTGGTGAGTCGATCAACAATCACCTAGATAGAATCCTTTTTGGAAGGAGTTAGAGGAAGACCAATAACGAAGTCCATCGTAATACGCTCCCATTTCAACTCAGGAATCTTAATTGACTGTAACAATCCAGACGGATGCTGGTGCTCTGCCTTAACCTGCTGACAAGTCAAACACCTTGCCACAAAATCTGAAATATTTTTCTTCATACCAGTCCAAAAGTAGCACTCTTTGAGATTATTGTACACTTTGTCCCACCAGGATGCATAGCATAAGGACTACTATGAGCCTCTTGAAGAATAACCCGTCTCAACTCATCATCTTTAGGGACGCAGTAACGACCGTGAAAACACAAAATACCATCCTGATCCACAGTATACTCCAAACTCGATCCTTGCTTAACTTGTTCAATATTGGGAAGCAACGAGCTATCAAGGAGTTGTTTAACCTTAATCTCCTCGGCCAAAGTAGGTTTAACATGTAACTCTGCTAACAAACTATTATCATCAAATAAACTCAAGTTGGCAAATAAGGCTCTGAGATCTGATATCGCCTTATGGCTCAAGGCGTCTGCCACTACATTAGCCTTCCCTGGATGATATTCTATCTCAAAATCATAGTCCTTTAAAAGCTCTAACCAGCGACGCTGTCTCAAATTCAATTCTTTCTGAGTAAGCAGATACTTCAAACTCTTATGATCATATAGATATAACACTTTTCTCCGTAAAGGTAGTGTCTCCAGATCTTTAAAGCAAAAACCACAGCAGCTAATTCCAGATCGTGAGTAGGATAGTTACGCTCATGCAGCCTTAACTGACGTGACACATAGCAACAACTTTCCTATCTTGCATCAAAACACATCCTAATCCAGAATAAAAAGCATCGCTATAGACAGAAAAATCCTTCCCAGATTCAGGCTGAATCAACACTGGGGCTTGAGTTAGAACAATCTTCAATTTCTCAAAACTAGCTTGTTGGTCCTCAGACCAGACAAATGGAACATATTTCCTCAATAGTTTCGTCAGAGGAGCTGCAATAAGGGAGAACCCCTCAACGAAACGACGGTAGTAACCAGCTAAGCCCAAGAAACTACGGATCTCAGAGACGTTTCTGGGTTGTTTCCAGTTCAGAATAGCCTCTACTTTGCTCGGATCCACCTGAATGCCATCAGCAGAGACGATATGTCCAAGAAAAGTCACTTCGCTGAGCCAGAACTCACACTTGCTCAACTTAGCGTATAGCTTATTCTCCCTTAGAGTCTGAAGAACAATCCTTAAATGTTCCTCATGTTCCGCTTCACTTCTAGAATACACTAGTATGTCATCAATGAATACAACTACAAACTGGTCCAAATAAGGTCAAAACACCTTATGCATCAGATCCATAAAAGCAGCAGGGGCATTAGTTAACCCGAATAACATCACTAAAAACTCATAGTGCCCATATCGAGTACGAAAAGCAGTCTTCGGAATAACCGAATCTTTCACTTTGAGTTGATAATAACCAGATCTCAAGTCTATCTTTGAAAAGATAGAAGCCCCTCGAAATTGGTCAAATAGATCATCGATCCTGGGCAGAGGATATTTATTTTTAACAGTGAGCTTGTTCAGTTTTCTATAATCAATACAGAGTCTCAATGTCCATCTTTCTTCTTGACAAAGAGAACTGGAGCTCCCCACGGTGATACACTAGGTCGAATAAATCCCCTGTCCAACAACTCCTGAAGTTGAACTTTTAGTTCCTTAAGCTCCTTTGGGGCCATACGATAAGGAGCCATTGAAACCGGGGTAGAACCAGAATAGACTTCAATCACAAACTCGACTTCTCTATCTGGAGGTAATCCAGGCAACTCCTCGGGAAAAACATCAGGAAATTCCTTGACAATTCGGATGCCTTCAATATCGATTGTGATCTCCTAGTGTCCAAAATATAAGCAAGAAACGCCTCGGAACCATTCCTGATCATCTTCTCCGCTACCAAGGCAGACACAACATTCGTCAGAAATCCACGTCGTTCCCCGATCATTACAATCTTTCGATTATTGGGGTCTTCAGAACAGCTCTCTTAGTCTCAAAATCAATATTTACTCGATGTTTGTCCAACTAATCTACGCCGAGAATCAAATCGAACTCTTCAAAGGGTAACTCCATTAGGTCGACCAGAAAAATCTCCCCATTGATCTCTATAGGGCACTCTCTAAAAATACGATTCAACACGATGGATTTGCCTAAGGGACTTTGAACTATCACTGAACGCTCAGTATTCTCAACAGGAATATTTAGACCCTCAAAAACGGAATGTGATACATAGGAATTTGTAGAGCCACTATCAAACAATGCAAAGTATGGAACTGAATGAATAGTAACATTACCTGCAGTCACATTAGGCCTATCACGATCTTGTCGAAGTCTAGCAGTGTAAACCAATACAGGTTGTCTGGCCTCAGATCTGACTTGACCTCTACTCTGAGATGCTCGGCCTCTATTAGCTGATCCAGGTGCTCTCTCCTGAGTACGACCACCCGTAGGAGTCTGAACAGTACTCTGAGTACGAGCAGGAGTACGAGTTAGTGTTTGAACTGCAGAAACTGACACTGTACAATCCCTTATAATATGGTCACCAGAACCACATCTAAAACAAGTGTCAAATTTTCTTCTGCATTCCCCAAGATGATGTTTTCCACAATAATCACATGTCTGCAAAGGTTGTAACCCAGATGATCCACCATGTCTAGAAGGTTGAACAGCTGAAGAACCAGATGCAACAGGTCTGATACTCGTACTACCTCTCGGAAATGAATCACCCCTGTCTCTCTTGATAGGGTGTGTAGAAGAATCAATAGAACCAGAAGGCCTCCTGAATCGGGTTTGAGCTCGATCACTATCTCTCTTGTACTCCATACCCAGTCGCTCTATTTCCTCAGCAGTCTTGGCTATCTCAACCAAAGCATCAAAATTCCTCTCTCGGTGGGTAGCGACTCGACTCCTGATCTCATACCTGAGTCCATTCTCGAACCTCAAGCATCGATCTGTCTCCGTGTCAACAAGTCCAGGAGCATAACGGCTCAATCGGATGAACTCCACCTCGTAATCCATAACAGACATATTACCTTGCTTCAGATTCTGAAACTCCTGGCGTCGCTCCTGCAGATATCTCTCTCCGATGTAGCGACTCCGGAAGTGCGTCTTGAAAAGATCCCATGTTAATTGGTTCATGGAATACTACCAGAAATGGATTGCCACAATCTGAAGCTTTATTTCTTCAACATAGGTAGGGCCCCCTTTAACTTTTGCTCAAGTCTGAGGTCCATCTCATCCATAATTCTCTCTGTGTCCTCCAGCCAATACTCAGCGTCTGTCGGAGGTCCACCAGTAATACCCTCGAATGGAACTACACCAGCAGTAACTAGAGAATTTGAAATCTCCACTGCAATCATGTTACTAGGGGCTCTAGCAGCTCTCTGGAACATGCGGAAGATAGCTCTATTAATGGCGTCTTCATTCATCACAGAATCCTCATCTTCAGTGACGGGAGGGTCTCTCATAGGAGTAAACTGATCATCATGAGAAAGAGTCGGATCTACTTGCGGAACAGGAGGATCACGTGGTGACATCGGATCTTCTATCGTAACAGAAGGTCGAGTGACTCGCCCTCTACCACGTCCTGTCCTACGACCTCTAGCAGCATTCATCGTTGGATCTATAAGGCTCTACAGAAAGAATTTGAAACATGTGTCAGATTAGCATCAGGGATCTGAGAAAACTTTAAATCATAACATAATGTGACATTTTAAAAAAAAAAATCCAAAATTTAGGACCCATATACAGTCCGAGTGTTTAAAACCGAAAGCTCTGATACCACCAAATGTAACCCCCCAGACCCAGTCTGTAAGATAGACTCAAACCTAAGTGGCCACATATCCCAATCAGAGGGTTTTTTTTATATAACTTAAATAACGGTCTGTTGTTATCTGAAAAAGGGTAAAAACTATAGAATAAGCTAAAAAGCTCAGTGTGCTCCAAGCAGTATAAAAAAATATACAGATAAAATCTTTCAATGAAATCGGTTTATGCAACATGTTTTTTTTTATTTTTAAACATGAACACTACCACCATCCGTTCACATCATAATTGTGTAGGTTCCCCAGAACCATACACCCAACCGCACATGCCATTTAGACCCTGAGCACAAAGCCGAGAAGTCTGCAGATAATCTTCCTTCAATATTACCCCCAAATGACAAAATTAAACATGAATGTATTCAAGTGAAAACAATGATTAATCACTTAAAACATAAAAATATTTCATGCTTGGAAACCATATGCAGAAATACATAAATCAGAATTCAAATAAGTAATATATGATAATTCAGATGTCATATAAGCAGATCTCAAAAATCGGTATGAAATACCTTAATTCAGAAATTATATCAGAATATACAGTAAATCAGATATCAAATACTCAGTATTCGGATGAATCAATTTAAAACAGTAATGTAATAATGTTAGGAAACACACCTGTAACAGTATGAGAAATCGGATAGGGAAGCCTACTACTGGGTTTGTCGATCACGCTCTGCTGCAGTGCTAGATCCTACGAATTGGAAAAATCCATATTGGAATTCTAATAAAAATAATCTTAATCTTTACTTAAATAATATACGGAAACCTACGGGTAATTCTTGTATTACACAGTTCGGGCTGATCTGACGAACGAACAACACCGGACCTAATTGATCCTTGCTCAGGTGAAACACGAGTACCTTCATAACATATTTTTATTGAATCAATCCTTAACCAAATCTCAATTAAATAATCAAAATATTAAAATACTAAGCCTTTTTGGGTTCACAAGCTCGATTTAGGAATTTCGGGTCAGAATTTGGCAAAACGGACTTCGGAATCAAATTCAAGACGTCGAAAAACATAAAGTATGACCTTCCGAAATTTCGAATTCTTGGTCAAAATTAAAGTCAACGGGTTTGACTGACGATTTGGAGACTTTCGGGTTTGAATTTAGCAAAACGGACCCTAAAAACAGATTTAGGACGTCAAAAACTGTAAGGATATGTATTTTTGAAAAAGATTAACAGTCGTTTAATAGGCGGTCAAAGCCGATCAAAGTTCTGGTCAAAAGTGGTCAACAAACTGTCAAACATTTTACACAAATAGCACCCTTTTTAAAATAATTACCAAAATAGCACCCTTTTCGAATTAATTTCCAAAATAGCACCAATTTCGAATTAATTCTCAGAATATCACTTTTGAAAAAATTACCAAAATAACACCCATTTCAAATTAATTCCCAGAATAGTACCAAAATCGAATAAATTCCCAGAATAACACCGGTCAACGGGTCGGGTCGTGACCAGTCAAACCGGTCAAAACCGATTCAAAACCGGTTAAACCGGTTTCCAGCTTCCACTCGCCAGCGACAGCGCGTGTGGGCGCGTGAGGTGTCCTCCGGGCTCTAAAAATTACGGAAAAATTTCTAAAAATTATTTTGAGCGATTTCGAGATACTTACAAAGATCGGTTCAAATTTTTGAACGGCGGAGAGCTCGATTTCATCAAATCGGAAACTTTGACCGCTTCACCTCCCCACGCGCAGCCGTCTACGGAGACCGAGGATGACACCGGCGGACTTGGAACGGCACAAGGAACACGATAGTGCGGGAGGTGTCGTAAACGGAGCAACGATCGGCGATGAGTTTATGATTTTCTAGGCGATTGAGCTTAAAAAAAACGTCGATGCTTTGACTTGAAATTCACGGTGTTTGGCAGCGTTTCGCTTCAATTAAATTGAAGGATTGTTCCTGACTCGATAACGAACATGACGGTGCTTTCAAAACGGCGATCGAAATTCGGACGGCGTCGGGATCGTCGTCGGAGTTGAGGTAGGAGAAGGGAAATTTGGGCGTGGTTTTCTGTATATAAAACAGAAAAACACGTATTCATATATATAAACCAAAACATACCTAACATTTAAGGGTAAATTCAAGGCTTGGTCCCTAATTTTTTTTAACTCTAAAACAAGCTACAAGTTTAAAGAACTTCCAATTTAGTCCTCAAATTTCACCAATTTTCATAATTAACCTCAAATTTCAATTAAACATTATTTTGAAATTTTCGGGTTGTTACACTTTTCATATGATTTCATATTTATATGTCACATAACTCGTATCACTTTGCATGGTTTCACATAAACATATATATCATATCATCTATGTTCATTCATTTAATCTCATATGTTCACATATCACATAACACATAGAATAACATGTCAGACATAACTCATGTATAATGATGCATATAACATATAATCATGTAGGTCATGTCACATAAGAATCACAAATCAATTAACATTTTAGGAGTCACTTCTTACCATAGTAACTCCGTCACTGGCTCAACACAAGCCAATGTTTGTTCGATAACATAAGTACAAATTAAATTGCACTCACCTTAGCCTTGCTTTGATTCGATCCTAATTCTTTGATTGTTCCGTAGCTTGTTTAGGCTCAATATCTACATAAACATAATTTCTGAGACGATTATCAAAAGCCTAAACCTTATAACTTGGTATTAATAACTTAGGCTAATTTAATAAACCAAACTTCAACTTTTCCTTTAGGAGTGTACCGATGCACTATGGATGCATCGGTACCCAAATTAGGTTCGAAATTCCCATGCATCGATGCACCCCTTAATGCATCGATGCACCTTCAAATTTTGTCTTAGTGCATCGGTACACATTCATAGTGTATCGATGCACCTCTCCAAAATAGGCCATTTTCACCCGAAATTCATCAATACTTCACCCAAATTTTCATGTATAAAATCCTTATCATATTGCTAAACTCATCTATAACAACTTTAACTAATTTTTATCATTCCAACACTTTATAGTCTCCCATATTTCATCCAAATTCTTAAGGCTAAGAATCATATCGAATTTTCCATGTTATCCAAACTTAATTCTAACACTTCTACTTCTTATTCTCATAGATACCATGTCAAATTCATCCTCCAAATTCATTTAAACCTTCTTATTCAAAATTTCACTTAAAAACCCATTTTCTTTAATATTTCACAACTCCTTTATTTTTTTGATTTTAAGATAACTTAAGCTTTCCTTAAACTTAGTTATCTTCTAATAATAAAAACCCAACTTAAATTTTAGCTAATAATCAACAACAAAGAAATATTACCTTTTGCTTGAGCTTTCACATGGAGGAGGAAGAAGAAAGAAGATGAAGAAGAGAAGTGGATAAAATATCTCCTTCATCTTATCCTTATATCCTTATCAATCCCATTTTTAATTAATTTCTAAGTCAAATGACTATTTTGCCCTTCACTTCATTTAATAATTACTAATAACTTTCAGGAAATATTTCCAAATAAATCATTGAACTATTTATCTATTCTACTTTTATCACCAAATTCTGAATTTTTATAATTTGGTCACTAACCTGATATTGAGGATGTTACAAAAAAAATTAGAGACTACTTTAAAATAAAGGTCATAATTTAAGGATGTATGTTGTAATTAATTCTTATTATGAATATTTTGGACAATATTGTTTCATTTTAGGGTAATTTTTTTATTTTAGAGCATTAACCGTTTATTAACTAATGATTTTAATCTATAAAGAGATTTTTGTCGCAAAATGAAATATTGAGATCAAACTATTAAAAAAATAAAATGATTATTTTAATAAACGTTGGAGATTAATTTTAATAGTAATGTTAGATTATATATATATATATATAGAGATATAACACAGTAAAAATATATTTACATTAGGGTAAACTATACGGGTGACCACTTAACTATGGTCAAAATTCATTTTGATCACCAATGTTTCAATTTGATTAAAAAGACCACCCAACTATTTAAATGGTTTAATTATGCCACTCTTCTTTAATAAAAATGACATAATTATGGATTTGATCCTTAATATTTATAAATCCTATCAATTTGGATATAAATTATTTGAATTAAAATAAATTTAATTTCCAATTAAATGGTGACACATGCCATTACCTAGTTGGAGCATATTTTCTTAATTTTTTTATTTATGTAATATATTTATTTTTCTACCAATAAGGTGTAACACGTGTCACCGCTTTATTAAAGTGAGAAAATAATGAGTGAATTGAACTTAGGTCACCCCATTTAGCCAAGGTCACGCCTAAACTAGTGTACCAAGACCCCTTTTAGTTCCAAAACACAACATGTTTTATATATTTATTTCATTTACTGACAGAAAAAAAGAAGAAATAAAAATGCAAATTTAGATAAATGATTAAATTAAAGTTCAATCACATATTTGAATATAATTTATATTTTTTTTATTTTTTATTTTTATTTTTTATTAATGGAATAAATAATTCTTAACTTTTATTCGATTAAAAAAATATAAAATATAAAAATTTCTAAATTATAATTAATAAATAAAAAGTCAATAATTATTTATTCAATTAAAAATTTAAAGTATAAAAAATTGAAATTAATAAAATTAAGATTTTTTTAATCGAATAAATAATTATAATTTACAATTTTTATATTTTATATTTTAAAATTTTAATTGAATAAATAATTATTGACTTTTATTTATTAATTATAATTTATAATTTTTTATATTTTTTATTTTTTATTCGAATAAATAATTATTGATTTTATTTATTAATTATAATTTAATAGATATATGAAATATTAAATTATAATTATCATATAAAAATTAAAGATTATTTTTTATTAATAAAATTTAAGAATTATTTCTTCCATTAATAAAAATTAAAAACATTAATTTTTTTTGTAAATTATATTCAAATATGTGATTGAATTTTAATTTAATCATTTATCTCAATTTGTATTTTTATTTCTTTTTTTTTTCTGTCAGTAAATGAAATAAATATATAAAACATGTGATTTAGAATTAGAAGGGGGACTTGGTGCAATGGTTTAGGAGTGACCTTGGCTAAACGGGTGACCTAAATTTGATTCTATCCAGACGCACTTTCACTTATTATTTTCTCACTTTAATAAGGTGGTGACACGTGTCACTACTTTATTGGTAGAAAAATAAATATATTACATAAATAAAAATTAAAAAATATGCTCCAACTAGATAATGGCATGTGTTACCATTTAATAGGAGATTAAATTTATTTTAACTAAAATAATTTATATCCAAATTGATAGGATTTATAAATATAAAGGACCAAATGTATAATTATGTCAATTTTATTAACGGACAAGTCACTATCTCGATTAAACTAACGTAGAGTGACCTGATTGAATCATTTAAATAGTTGGTGGTCTTTTTTAATCAAATTGAAACATTGGTGGTCAAAATGAATTTTGATCATAGTTGGGTCGTCACCCGTGTAGTTTACCCTTTACATCACACACTTGAATTTACAACATGGTTTTTGAGTTTTGAGGACAAGCATATTCCTCCTGTTCTCGCGTGTAGAACCGTAGCCATGGCTGGGATTACCACCAGCTTCCCTTTCAAGACCATCCCGACTAGACCCACCAAGACCATACCTTTACTTCTCTCTTCCATCGAATCCAAGCTCTTTGGCATCCATTTCTGCATCCCAAATAGTTTTTCTTCTTCTTCTCTTCACTGCTCTTCTACTATAATCGCCCGTTACGGTGGTGGTGATTCTCGTTCCTCCGCTACCGGTCGTCCCAAGAATAATTATGAAGACCAGGCGCTTGATTTATCCACCATCAGGTTTTCACTTTTGTTATTTGATTTAATTGCATAATTGGGTGGCTTTGTTCTTTTCATCCTCCCCCCCCCCCCTTTTAATTTGAAGGGTATGTTTGTTTCTGTGTTGCTTTGGTTTTAGGTCTGATTCTGTCAGGCTTATTGATGAGCAACAAAATATGGTTAGTGGCATTTTCCTTTCTTTCCGTTTTGTGTTTAGTGCTAAGATGACAGTTTGTGCATGATATTGATTTCTTTTATCAATTGTCGAATTGATTTGTTTTGTTAATGTGTAGGTTGGGGTAGTGTCTAAAAGCCAGGCCATTGAAATGGCTGAAGATGCAGAGCTCGATTTGGTATGCTATTGTCAATTTCTATTAAATTTCTATTAAATTTCTATTAAATTTCTATTGTTTCATGACTGTGTGTTTGTGACAGTGATTTTCCTCACTATCAGGGTGATTGAACTAGGATAGGATAGTGGGGGCTCCAAATTGCTTAGGGACCTAAGAAGTATTTAAGCCAAAAAAAGGGGGCCAAGTCTTATTTTGAATAAAGTTTAAACTGTCAGTGGCTAAAGTTGAATTAAACCAAAACTTTTGCCTGGGGTGGGGGTGGCTCCCATTGTAATATTAGTTCCGTCCCTGCTCACTATGTCAGTAACAAGAACTTCTACGTTTGTACAATCGAGTGAATTTGTAATTTTTTGCTTGTTCGTAACACTTTGTTTTGCATTTGTTTTGTGAATATGTTGTTTGTATTGGTAGCAGGATATTCTCAGCAGAGTTTGTGCATTGTTCTTCAAAACAGATGATTTTTTGTAATTTGGTAACAATTTCAAAAACATTATTTTCTTCATACAAACACACATCTTTCAATTACTTTTGGATGGAAAAAAGCAAGTTCTAAGGAGATAATCAAATCAAATAGAGCCTTTGGCATTTCCATGTTGTACATTGGTTTTATTATATGGGAATATTAAGTGATATTACAAAGAGAATGTAGTTAAGCCCACAAACTTAATTACCAGGGATGAGTAGCTTTATGATTATAATTTAACTTTCATGCTGATACCTTTAGTTCTTCTCCCTTTGTGGATGCATGAATGTTAAGCAAAGTGCTTGTTTAATACCTTGTTTCTGTTTCCTATAAGATATTTGTTGCATGCTAGAGTCGGCATATGATGAGCTACTTGCCTGAGAAGGTATCAGTGTCATTTTAGTTTGGATTTTTTTTCTTAGTTTTTGAATACAGTATTCATTAGTTCATATTTGGTATTGGTTTTGCCAATTTTCCTGCTGCTGCATAAGTCTCTAGATGCTAGCTTATATCCTTGGGCGTCATAGTTGTTCATTTTAGTTGAATTACTTTATCCGTCTCTTGAGAAAACTTGAGCCCATATGGCCAGTAGAAAGAGAATAATATGTAAAGATCAACTACATGTTAAAGCTAGTGTTTAATGCTATTCCGGTCTTTGCTAAGGGCACTATAAACCTACAATCTGCTTTGCTACAAGAAGATACCAAAAAAAAAAAAAATTAAGGTTTTATACGACATTCAAGCTGGTATTACATTAGACTTCCATCTGTTCGTTGTCTCTGTTTTTTTCCTTTTTTCTTTTTTTTTTATATAGAATTTACTTGAGTACCATATGCTAAGTGCATCAGAACTTATATTTTTTCTCTTTCAGAAAACAAAGTTTCTTTGAACTTCTTGTGTGTATGTAATGGTGATGCTGAAATTTTTTTTAATACCACTTTTGCAGGTGATATTATCCCCTGATGCAGATCCTCCTGTTGTCAGAATAACGGATTATAAGTATGATATGCTTTATGCTAACTTGAGAGAAATAGTTTTAGTTTATTATTATTCACGTGTTTATGGAATTTTTCTCCTACTAGTTTAGAAGAAATTGTTGTGAAATAGAAGTGACAGCTAAATTGTGATATTCTTTTTGAAATTTAAGCTGGGGGAAGAGAAATTTAAAGCTTGGAACATCCCTTTTAAATGAGACAAAAGTAACTCTATTTACCGTCTCAATGTGATGTAAATAAAGGGTGGGGGAAAATCAGTTGAGTCTACCAGGTCTCTTCATCTACCCTACTGAAGACACTGAATTCCCATATTAATTCCTATGAAAATTGATGTCTTAATGATGTTATCTAGTAGTCATGTCCACGTTGTTGAAGGCATCACTATTGGACTGATATTAAAAAAATGTTATATTAGTAGTCTTAGTTTTACATATCTTTTCCTTTTGAAAGTTCATTTTCAAGTGTATTAATATACTTGTTTTTACCTTTTCCTCAGTAAGTATAGATATGAAAGCAAAAGAAGAAGAAAGTACAGCAGAAAAAAAGTGCGTGTTAACATCCTCTTCTTTAGAGTTTTCTCATTGGGGAATGCTAAAGTCATATAACATCTGGCTGGTGGCAAAGTAGCTCTGTTCTAATTTAATAATATCTTTATGATATGATCCTGTGGACCCAGGCAGATTGACTGTGGATTTAGCACTTCCCTTTGAATTTCTCTTTCATTCATATCTGAACTTTCCTTTTTGCGGATTGATGCTGACTAAACTATTATTTCAACTGTCAGCTAATCGCATAGATCTTAAGGAGCTGAAAATGGGGTAAGTATTTTGCATTATACTTCTATGTAGTTCTTTGTCTTTAATCTCACAATACCTTCGTCTTTTTGGTCTTGTTGATGTGTAATTATCATCCATAATTTACAAACTTAGCTTCTCTCGGTGAATTTATTTCATAAGCACGCTTCATGATTATTTTATTGCTGTTAAAAGTTTCTTTCTATCTCCCAATGACCATAGTCTGACCCTAGTATCTTTTTTGTGGGTGTCTAATTTTTCTTTTATGCACCGATGACTTGGTAAATGAACTATAATCGTACTATTTAATATCTTGAGTTTTGTTAGTTTATAGGTCTTAGATGATTTATAATTTTATATGATGAACGATAAACTCTCTTGGGAAAGAAAGACGACATACCCTGATACCTTCAGTTTTACACGATAAATGATAAACACACAATGACACAACCTATCCTTCTGCATAAACCCTATACAAAGGCTTGCAATTTAACCTAGTTTTTTGGAGGCTGTGTATTTCCTCGAGTTTTGCAAATATAAGAAAAGCCTGATATTAATAGGGCTTTAGGCTTGTGACTTCCTCAATATACAAGTGTCATTTAAGTCTTGGTTTCATTAACACTGGAATCAGAAAACTCTGAGAAATTACCATGGTAGTGTTATATGAATGATACTATCTAAGTGAAGTGATCATACTTGGTATTGAGTCAACTTTCCCTAGCCTCTTCCTTGGCATGCAAGTGCCATTGTTCGATCAAAACTATCTTCATCAACAGTTGGGGTAAAAAGTTGTGAGAGTTACTCATTTGACTCTGGCTTCTATCAAGAATCTTATTCCAAAGCTACAATAAATAGCAATTTTTTGTTTATTGTTTTGTCTAAATTGCATTTTTTTGTTTTGAACAGTTATAACATTGATCAACATGATTATGTTGTTCGTTTGAAATCTGCAAGGAAGTTTCTGAACAATGGTGATAAAGTTTTTCTTCTTTTTTTAAAGGTTCTTGTATAATTGTTATGCTTGACATGATACGTATAGGCCATATATTGTTTTGGAGTTAAGTAGCAGTGAAATATTCTGATCTATCCTTTCAGGTTAAGGTCATAGTGAACTTGAAAGGTCGAGAAAATGAATTTAGAAATATGGCTATGGAACTCATCAGGCGCTTCCAGAATGATGTTGGGGAGGTACATTTATGATGTATTACTACTTTTTTCTTTCGTCGATAACAAAAATGCAATGTTCAAGGGTAAAAGTGTAAGCATCATCATATAAAGCTCTCAAATTTCCAGCAGTTTTCTTATTGTAATATGTATTCCGATGAAATCATGAATTAAGCGGTATGCTTAGAACACAAATTTTAAACTTCTTGCCAACCTGAAACAGTCCAAGTTGAAATAGAAAATATTTTAAGCATTTCTACCAATAGAGGTAACATTAATTAGTAGGATTTTGATTAAAGGGATAAAGCAACATTTGGTCTATGAACTTGACAGCTTTTCCAAACTCGGTCCCTGGATGGTTTTTGTGGTCCACATTAGTCTTGCTATTTTACAAAATTTCCAAACTTGGCACCTGAACTTGAATTTTTAGTCCTTTTGATGACATGACACTTTAAGATTGTGCCACATCATCACCTAAAAGAATTAAAAAATGTTTTTTTGTGATGATGTCGTTTAATTTCTGAGTGCCACAACATCAAAAGGACAAAAATTCAAGTTCAGGGATCAAGTTGGGAAAATTTGTCAGACTTCTGGGGCTAATGTGGACAAAAAAGAGGTTCAATTTCAAGGACCAAGTTAGGAGAAGTCAAGTTCAGGGACTAAATTTTGCTTTATCCCAAACCAATGTAATTTCTTTCAAGTGCTACGTTTTTAATTATTTTTTATATTTTGGAAAATGTCATCAAATAGTTACAAGTAGAAAGTTGTCATCATTGAATGTTTCAGTAGATCGGGTAATATCTGTTGGTTGGACAAGAAGAATGAAACTGAAAACTGATTTGTGAACAACATAATTAGCAACTCTCTAGCTTAGGGTGTTTGAGTCTATGCTTCCAATAGTGTTTGCCGCCCCCTTCACCTATTTTTGTGATTTTTAATGCATTTGTTCAGATTTCATATGCCATTTATAATCCCTTATCCGAAAGCTGCTCTTAACTGTAATCCTAAACCACCATATTGATCCGCAGCTTGCAACTGAGGAAAGCAAGAACTTCAAAGACAGGAATATCTTCATATTATTGGTTCCGAACAAGGCTGTCGTACAAAAAGCTCAACAAGATGCTGGAAAGAAAAAAGATAAACCAACCAAAAATGAAATCTCAGCTAGTGTCTGAGCATCGAATCTTGAAGAGCGTTTTTGGCGGCGTAACAGTCAGGCAGGTATATTATGTTCTTCAACTATGGGGTGTCCTTGGCTTGTCCTCAAAAGTCTCTGTATAGTAAATTAGTCAGTCACTGGATGTGTTGAATATTTCATTCTATTTTAATAACAGAACCAACCTTTTCCGCATAAAATATTTGCTACATTTTTGTAGACCAGAATCGAATCTCTGTTGTCTTTCCTCTTTGTTTAAAGTGTTTTGGCTGATCTGCAACATGATCCCAAAGGTTAATTCTATTATATCGTATGTGTGACTCGATGCAATGCTAATCTCTGTTCTGTTGCATGCTTCACTGCACGCCGATGTCGAAGCGCCACATCCCGGAGATCACTTGAAAAGAAAAATATAGAATAATCTGCAGGGCAAACCCAGTGTTGCATTGGTGTTGAAATCTTATGTGCAGATAGCAGGACGGATGGGAGTTAAATGTTGCTTATAGAATTTTGAGAAGGTATATATAAATGCAGGGAGGGGTAAGATGTATAAACAAATAATTACATTTACTTGATATGAAAATTATTAGATTGATTTATTTGTATAATTATATAAAATTGAATCAAATTTAAATTTTTTTGGTATATAATTAGGGAAAAATAACGTTGTACATACTTATATAAAATCAAAGTTCTGTATGATATGAAATATTGGAATAAAACTCATGAATAAATTTGAATTTCTCTCAAAATTTAAAACAATGAGTTTTATAAAATATATAAATATAAAATTAATAATATTCAAGCTTTTATTATTTTGATGGTAAATATGACATTTTTCGATTGAAGTTCACATTTAACAATAGTGCAAGTCTTTTGTTGCCATGCCAAATGCTCAGCTGATCACACTATTTGGAATGATTTAAAACCTTTATTTTTATTATAGAGATATACTATATTTTATTTATTTTTGTCTTAGAGAATTGTTGAAAAGATGGATTATGATTGTAATGAATTATGTCTTATAATTGGTCATTATATAAAAAATTTATATTACAAGTATACGTGCGTTTATCTTAAAAATATTTTTAGATTCATCATCGATCACTATAAAATTTTCTTTGGGAAGGTGTAACAAGAATGTTGTCGAAAACATTAAATGTATTAATCATGTTAAAACGATTAAATTTGGTTACCTGTAAATTTTATCTTTCTACGTATTCATCTTTTACATGTATTAATTCACGGCCACGAAGAGGTAAAATACATGCAAGGAAACGAAGAAGATACTCCAATATTTAATTTGTTTCACTTGAGAAATGTGTGTTTTTTTTTGGGTGCCTGCAGCCTAAGCCTCTGAAGAACCTTGATGATTAAGTTTGCGAGATTTGTGGCGATGACATTGGGTTGACGGTCGACGGAGATCTCTTTGTGGCTTGTAACGAGTGTGGTTTCCCTGTTTGTAGGCCTTACTATGAATATGAAAGGAGGGAAGGCACTCAACAGTGTCCTCGGTGCAAAACTAGATACAAGCGTCTCTAAGGGTGTCCTAGGGTGGAAGGGGATGAAGAAGAGGAGAATGTGGATGATATCAAACATGAATTCAACATCGACAACGAACAGAACAAACATAGGAGTGTAGTAGAATCGATTCTTCATAGGAAGATGAGCTATGGTTGGAAGAGGCCCTGAAGATGATGAAAGTCTTCAAATTCCACCAGTTATAACTGGTGCTCAATCTCGACCAGTAAGTGGGGAATTCCCTATAGGAGGTGCTCTTTCTTATGGCGAACAATTGTCGAATTCTTCTCTTCATAAACGATTGCACCCATATCCCATGTCTGAACCTGGTATGTTTCTTAACATTCTCTTATTTAAATCAACTTCTCTATATACTACAAAGTCTCATTACTGCATAATAACTTGCAAACAGATGGAACTGCAAGATGGGATGAAAAGAAAGAGGGAGGACGCATGGAAAGAGAGAACGGATGATTGGAAAATGCAGCAAGGGAATCTGGGTCCTGAGGGTGATGATGCCTCTGACCCTGACATGTCAATGTAAGTATTTTTTTGTAGTGTGTGGCATGTGAAAATTTTGTTTTACAGTAATTTATTTTCTCAAGCAAACTTCCTTGCAGGCTTGATGAAGCTAGGCAACCACTGTTAAGGAAGGTGCCAATAGCATCTAGTAAGCTCAATCCTTATCGTTTGGTGATTGTAGCTCGTCTTGTTATCCTGGCATTCTTTCTCTGCTATCAAATTATAAACCGGTGCATGATGCAATTGGACTGTGGCTAACTTCTGTGATCTGTGAAATCTGGTTTGCCTTTCGTGGATCGTTGATCAGTTCCCTAAGTGGCTCCCTTTTGATCGTGAGACCTATCTCGACCGCCTTTCCCTTAGGTATACAGATTCTGCAGATATTCTCGTGAAACATCTAATATATGGAATCAATTTGCTATGACTGTGGTCATCAATTGGTCTACTGTTTAAGTTATCTTTAGTCCCATAGCCAAAACTCACAATGGTTGATGCATGTATGAGAGGGAAGGTGAACCCAACATGCTTGCTCTAGTTGATATCTTTGTCAGTACAGTAGATCCCACGGAGGAACCCCCTCTTGTTAAATCTAATACGGTTCTTTTGATCTTAGCCATGGACTATCCAGTGGACAAGATCTCTTGTGAAATTTCTGATGATGGTGCATCCATGCTTACTTTCGAATCATTGTCGGAACCAGCTGAATTTGCTAAAAAATGGGTTCCATTCTATAAGAAATTTCCTGTAGAGCTCCTGAGATGTACTTTACATTAAAGATTGATTATCTCAAGGACAAAGTCCAACCCACATTTGTCAAGGAGCGTCGAGCTATGAAGGTT